TAAGGAAGAATACAATTTCTTCTTCAATGAAAAAAAAAGAGAGGAAGGGAGAGTGAGTGACAGAGAGCAAAACCCAAAAACGAAAGAAAAAGACGAGAGAGAAGATGTGGTCTTTTTTGGTCAATGAGAGAGATAGTCGATTTGAAGGAAGTAAAGAGAAAGTTTAAGTAAAATTTTTTTACTTAAGTCTAGTACTGGCAAACCAACTAGTCAGTGACAAAAATATTGGGCGCTTAATATTTTGGCTTCCCGCCCTTGAAGGGGCTGACACTGTGGTTCTTCAGTAAAACTAGTACTGACGAAAAACTTTGCCAGTATTATTTAGTAGTGGCAAACCACTTTACCTGGCCAGTAATGGGTCCTAATACTGGCTAAACTGCTCCTTCGCCAGTATTAGGTTGTCGGTATAAGCTAAAATTGTAGTAGTGATATATATTATATCTCATATGTTGTATACTTAGTTACATATCTATACATATAAAACTATTGATTTGTTCTTGTTTCTCAGTGAGGATACTTCCTCGCTGGTCGTGCTATTGGGCACATATTTCGAGAGTTTATATTGAGAAATTATAAGGAAAGGTTTGCATGGGTTGATTTGTAAGTTTCACTGTGGATTTCATATTTAGCTCTGGTTTTGAGCAAACTTTATATATATATGGCTATGATGGTTTTTAATGCATTGGTTTTATGCATGGTTTTCTAAATGGTGGGGTTATATTACTTTGATTTAATTGGAACTAAACTTTGTTTTGTCCACTCACAATTTTCTGTTTTGCGCCCCACAGACAGTAATTGACTATGCTGAGCAGCCAAGCTGAGCCCTGAGTACTGAATCTCGAGCTTCTGTAGGATAAGTTGGTTTCGTTTATGTTAAACTTCGTTTCCGTTGTAAATCTTGAATTATGTTAGATATGCACTGTTATTGCCCTGTTAGGGTTTGTTTTGTGAGGCCGGAGGCCATGGGTTGTAAACACTATATTTTGTGTAATGCATGCTGGCTGTTATGTTGTAAATTGTTGTGTTTTTAATAGGTTGAAATTTTGGGATTTGTTCATTTACAGGGGAGAGACTGCCAAAATTTTGGTAGAAAGTCTCGGTTCTTAGTAAATGGGTTCGGCATTTGTAGGATGTCGAAAATTTAGACGGGGTCCATCCCAGTTTCCGAGGAAATTCGGGGCGGGTTCTATCATTACCGGTAAGGAGGCAAGTAGTATCCATATATCAATGATCATATAAACAAAATCCATATCAACTACACAATTAGTTTACCAAAATTCACATCATCAATTAATCTAAACAAAATCAATATCAACTAATCTAATCAAAATGCATATCAAATTATCAATTTAATAAATATATCATAATTAAACAAATATATCAGGAAAAAAAAAACTAGAAGAAAAAAAGTAGCGGTTGATGAAAAAGAAAAAAATAACCAGATTTTGACTGCGATGTGAAGCGCTTTTAAAGCGAACAAACAGTGCATACCTAAGCCTCTGACTGATATAATTTGAAAATTGCCTATTGGCTCTTCTTTGTTGAACAAGACAATAAAAAACAAGAATAATAATAAGGATTCGACCAAAAAAAAGAGAGAAGAAGAATAAGGATGGATGGATGATATCAGGACGCACTAAAAAATCCAAACAAGAAGCATAAGCCAATTGGGTTTCCCTCTTCTGAAGAAGACTTCTTTGCTACGCATGTAGGGTTTTTTTTTTTTTTTTTGGCATGGTGCAAAATGACGTTGTTTTTGCCAAGACGTTAAGAAAAAAATCTATATGCGCGCACAACAGCTGTGCAACAAACAAAAACACAGTCCCTTTGAGGCATTTTGTTGAACAGTTCATGAGCACCAGTATAGGGGTATATTCCGACATCACCAAGGCGTTTTCCAACAAGAGGAGGTGCAGCACCTCCTGCACCTCCTTGCGCCTTTATAGATCTGCCAGTTGCAATTTCAGTGATATGACACTTTCCTCAACACCTAAAATCTCTAAATAAAAAGAGAAAAACACACCAACTGACAGGACTGAATTTAGAACAGATTCTGTAGGAGGAGGTGATCTCATGTTTGTGTAATTAACATAAAGGAGGGATTTTGCTGTCAGTTTTTCAAAATTTCAATAATTCTACTTCAGGTTTGAATTTAGAACACAAATACCCGATCCGTTACTTTGCTGTCAGTCAAAATGCCAACAAAACAGGAGAATCCGGTTCTCTCTTCATTATTCCGGTTGGTGACATTGCCATAGACTGATAACCATTATCATTGTCAAAATTTCAATTTAAATAATTAGGTAATTTTTGTCATTTCATTGTTTTCGTTAAGATCATTAGTTGATTGCTAGGCAAAGGGGTAATTGTATAATTCTCAAAAAAAAAAAAAAAAGTTTTATAATTTTTATTTTTTATCAAATGTCATGCAGCAGACCTTAAAAGTGGATGTTATGTTTGAGAAATTGGTTGGCCTTCTAGAAGTTTGCAGGCAAAGCCTGCAGGTACGCCCTAATTGACAAATTGATATAAGTACTGTGTGTGAACGCCCTAGTTGACCTTTGTGATGATATAAGTACTGTGTGTGAACGCCTATATCTCACAGTTTGTCACCTTGGGCAGCACGCATAGTTGATAGTGCTAATTAAGATGGGATCCATGTTCTCTCGTCAGACTGAACTTGTGAACCAGACGAATGAGATTTTAGAGTTAAAAGAGTGTCCAGCCGGAGATTCAGATGGCGAACACACCGTCCCAATTCAACTGCTGCCTCAGAAGCGAATGCGGATCAGCTCAACCAAGTTCCATCGTAATTCGCTTGTCTCCGGTCGTCGAAGAGACATCAGGCTCTTCAGAAAAGGACCAAACAATGGTAAGATGATTTGTGTGGAGATATTCGCAGCACACGACTTCATCTTCTTCGGAAAATTTACCTTTCGCAAGGCGAAGGGGCAAATTGTCGTCGACAGAGGTGGAGATGGAGCTCAAGGGAGCCACGACGACCTCCCACGACTTAGGTACTTTATACCTCTCTCTCGTTTGTAACTTATAGTATACCTTGATGATTGATTGGTTTGTTGGTCTTGAATATTGTGTCACACACAGGTTATCCTATGTTTTGGAAGATCTAAAGGGGAAATTTTTTGAAAGCGCCATTAGCAACTAGGTAATGTTTATTTCTAGCTCCCTCGCCTCTCTCTGCATGTCTAATTTTTCTGCTAATTCATACGTTTCTTAATTTTAATTTTCTGTCCAGCTCGTCCTGTTTCCAATTGAAACATAAGCATGTACGTACTCACATTTGAACCATGGTGTTTTGGGAATCATTGGACATGTTCTCGCTCCCCTATTGTGAAACCCCGTATTTTTAAATATATATATATGTTCATTTGAATAACTATAAAATATATTTATTATTTGTTTTTCTCTAAATGAGTACCCTTAGATATTTCTTGTGTATTAAATAGCTAAAAAATCTCTTTTTATCTTTTTGAGCAAGTTAACTTGGACAAAAGGATTGACATGGTAATTATATATATATATGAGTTTTAATCATCTTAAGCTATAGAGTGGACGTGTGGTTAGCATGCATATTTCATCCTTATCACCAATATATGTGTCATTGTTTTAAAGCTCAAACTTGTGTGTGTTTTGATAACTCATGTAGGAAATTAGTTAGTTAATAAATATCTTGATTCTATCTTCCTACATTCGTATTCATCCTTAGTCATCAAGCTTATCCACACATCTATTCTTACTTCATGCCCAAGTTTTGTAAGGCCTCTCCCCTATGTTGTCAATAACAAAAACGAGAAAAGAGAGAAATGAGGTGAAATACTAGAGAGAGAGAGAGAGAGAGAGAGTGGTGATGAAACTCTTGGAGCTTGCTTTGAGTGATAGTATATGAAGATAAGTAGATGGGTTGTCTTGCCAATTTATTTTAAGGGCTCTCATTATCGAGGTGAATGGTTTATGTAATGTGTTCTAAAAGTTCTTATTTTGTGATAAAATATGAAAACCATGAATTATCGTGGATTTATTCTATTTACAAATATCTCTCTATTTCAAAGTCAAGCATGTCTAATTTTGTGCAATCTTTCACAGTATACATATATTGATTGGAATATTTATGAAGTATGTATTATTCATGGAACATGAGAACTTCAATGTTGGAATATCCGAGGGATAGATGTACCACACGGGGACATAGGGCAGTGAAGCCAATAGGGGTCACGTGGTTGGTTACATGCTATGAAGGATAACCAAGATATGAAGGGATGATGTGATATGATCTGGATTGGTGTATCTTTTCATTATATTTTCTAGAGTGTGTAAAATAGCATTGCTTGACTGACATATTACATAATCTACTCACTGAGCGGTGGTTGCTCATCCCTTACCCTGTTTAATTTTTCAGATGAATTAGTGGGCAAGACAAGGACTAAATCGGTTGAAGCTGAATTAGATGAGAGTGATTGAGCTTTATTTATTTATTGTAAAGTTGTAAAGATTTTTTGGGAGCTATTTTTATATTAAAAGTTTATTTTATGTTTCGGCTTTCTTTTTATTTTATTTTATTTTTATTTTTTTACTCACGCACCGGGCGCGGGATTTCCACCTACCCCGGGTCCGGGGCGTGACACCTATCTACTTGTCTCTCTTCACGATCACCACCTACCATCATTAGGCACCACCTGGCACTTGCATCGCATACATAGACCGGCATGCTCGAATAGAAGAGAAAGCTGAGTAGGTCATACGAGGTGTGGTGAGAAGCAATATCTTACGTGTAAGAAAAAATATGTAATATATATGACTGATTTTACAAAAATAATAAAGTGTGGTAATGTTGATATTACGTACAGTAGCACCATGCGTGTAACAATCATTAAGGATTGTAAGCTAACAATGTCAAGATTACAAGTACGAAATTTATTATGCTTAGAATGAGAGGCTATGTTGAGGAGTTACAATGAAGGGGTTTAATACAGCAGTCCAATAATAACTATGTACTAGATTGGATGGCTATGTTGACGGGTTACAATAAAGGAGTTCAATCCAGCAGTCTAATAATAACTAAGCACTAGATTAGACGATAATTAAGGACCCCTTCATTATAAGTTATAACGCCTTAATTTTATCCCTCATTATAGCCTCTTTGCGTGGTTTAATGTGGGTAAGTGGCTGAGCAAGGGGCCATCATTCGACTCTTAATCCAAATTCTTGTCACAAATTATAACTTTGGGGTTTAATAGCAAAAGTCAAACATATGGGGTAGTATAATTTGAATATTTTTTGCACAACTCATACAACAAATCAAGGGTTAATGGCAAGACAAACATACCACTCTTTTTGTTGGCGAGTCCTATTCTATTTGGGTTTTATTTATTTTTCCTTTTGTATAGATATTATGTAATTAGGATTCCACTTATTTCCTAATTAAACCCTACTAGGGTTTGTAACCTGTATTATAAATACCTCCTTTCGGAGAATGAAATAGATCTGAAAATATTCTACCATATTGTTTGACTTGGTATCAGAGCCGACTTTCTGGTGACCTGTGTGTGTTGTGCCCACCCGTGTTCTACTCTGTGCCCTAATTTCTTTTTAGGGTTCTTGTGCCCGTGCCTGTGCTGTGTTTATCGTATCTGCTTTGTGTTGTGTTTATTTCCGCTGCTATCTATCATGGGTGATGATTCCATAGTTGTGACTGGTACTAGTGCATCTACACCGAAGGAGGCACGTCCCTCGCGTGATTACTCTACCCCGATTACATTTGACAAATTGGATGGCTCCAATTATGCCTCTTGGTCTCGTGGTGCGCGTATTACGATTACTAGTCGTCGTATGGCAAGTTGGATCAATGGGAAGAAGCCTGCTCCGTCTCAAGACTCCGCTGACTATACCGAATGGGAAGAAGATAATTGTCTGGTGCAGTCATGGCTTCTAAATTCCATG